TCCAAGGAGAAATTTCTCTCCTAACTCATCCAAGTATCAGGAAAAGCTGAACATCTTCTTAAAAACTGATTTTACCTCGCAACTCATGCAATTTCCTTGTTTGATTTTGTTTCAAGAAAGCTCGTACCTCTAGTGACTGTAAAATATCTTATAAGTCACCAGCAGTGAAGATTTATTCAGCATGCAGGCTGTGCTCAGCACTTTGCACGCGTCCTTTGCACTCAGTCCTCACACAGCCTGGGAGGCAGGTTAATTATTGTCCCGTTTGTAGTGGGATGAATAATGGCTTCCAACGACAGCCATGTCCTGCCACGGATGCTGCCTGATCTGGCAAAGAGACTCAGCAATTGTGATTAAACTAAGGATCTTGAGCTTGTGAGATTATCCTAATCGCAAGTGTCCTCATAAGAGGGAGGCCGAGCGAGATTTGACACAGAAGAAAGCAATGTAATAAATGAAACAAGATGCTATTTTGTTGGCTTCGAAGATGGAAGAAGGCAGTGAACCGAGGACTGCAAAGCACCCTGCTGTGGAAGCTGCAACACACAGGAAAGAGCTTCTCCCCTACGGTTTCCAAGACAGTGTGGCCTTGACCGAGGGGAACCGACTTTGCACTTCTGACCTCCAGAACTCTAAAATAATAAATATCTATCATTTTAAACCACCCACTGGTAACTTGTTACAGCAGCTACAGGAAACTCATACACGCTCTGTACAGTCAAGGACAGGAGACTTAAAGAATATTGCCCAAGGGTTGGCATGAGATTGGCTGACCCTGGACCCCAAGATCTTCTCACAATGACTCATCTGTGTGTGTCCTGACCAGCCTGCTGTTATCATTCCCCTTGTTTTCCCTCCCCTTATCCCGCTCTCCCACTAGCAGGTCATCTTCCATCACGTGTACTTTTGTAAATCTACCTCATGTCTTGGTGCAGCGTATAAACACATTGGTGGACATTTATGGCATGAGTGTGAGGTGGGGTTCCTGGGCTTTTCTAGGTCTGCAAATGGTCTTCTAATTTAACCAGAGAATGGCCCCTGACTGTTTTTGTCCCCCCTTCGCTTCTGTAAAGACTGGTGTTGTCTACTTTAGCACTAACAGTTGGACAGAGCAGGATTTTTGTGTTTTTCAGAAATTTTTGCTCATATCCTCATCAGTATTCAAAGCCCAGTGAGTGCCAATGAGGGTCTTTCTTCCTAAGGATTTTTGTATTATTCAGAACAGTTTGTAGCTTAAAATTTCCCCTTTCCACTAAAATTATAAAACAAAAAGAGAAGAGCAAAAACAAAACAGTAAACTCAGAAGATGACGGACCTGTTTTGCCGTGACCCTGCCACATTCGCGCGCGTAGTGGAATTCCTGGAGCCCTGACACAGGCCGGGCAGGGCTCACCACTGTGGCCTTTGCACTGTGTTGTCAACGTGAAGACCCTGGGGGAGGGGAGCGGGGCGGGTGGCTGGGACTGTCCCACTGTGCATCCAGGGCAGAAAAGGAACCATCTGCCCCTGGGAGGTATGTCACCAGTGGGTCTCCGACAGCTCGGGGGCCATGGAGACCTGAGGCGGGACCCATCTCTAGAGAAGCTGCCAGCACTCTGCGGGCCCGAAGTGTACCAAAGACTCCCTCTGACGTTAAAGCTCTTGAGAGGATGCTGGTTCAGGCTCCCATCATTTCTTTCCTAAACTATTGATTCTACAGGCTACAAACTCTGCCTCTAGCCCCAAACAGCTTTCAATCCATGCTCCTCACTGCCAAAGGGATGCAGACCAACCTTGCTGGGTCTCCTGGTGTATTGGTCAGGGTTCTCCAGGGAAACATATAACCAATGGCATTCCATCCGTAATGCATTCATATTATACATGCTATACGTATATTACATATACTACATGGATGTTCTAGAAGGAGATGCACTACGAGGCATAGGCTGATGATCACGGAGGCTGAGGAGTCCCACAGCCCGCTTGCTGTCTGGAAGGGGACCCAGGCGAGCTGTGGTGCAGTGAAGGCCTGTGACCCGAGTGCTGCAGGCAGGAGGGAAAGCCCAGCTCAGCAGTCAGGCGGAGAGTGATTCTCCCTCTTCGCCTTTTTGAGGGTGACCTGCTTTACTGCATCCATGGATTTAAATGCTAATCTCTTCTGGAAACACCCTCACAGACACACTCAGAGATAATGTTTAACCACCTTCCTGGGCGTTCCCTTGCCCAATAAAGTTAACACATAAAATTAACCGTCACACTCGGGCTCTGCCCGCCTTGCCCACCTCATCTCTCATCCCCTCCTGTCCCAGGCGGCCACAGAGCTTGAAACTGTGCCTGGTCACATGTCCCTCCTTCCCCACCTCTATTCCATTGGCCACTGGACAAAACAACAGACAGCAGATTAAGAGCAAAGGTTCTGGAGTCAGACAGACCTCGGGTCAATTACCTTTAACTGCACGAATATTTACTCCATGCCTTCTCTGTGCCACCAGGGATCTAATTCTGTCACTGTTGCTTGTGTGGCCTTGGAAGAGTTGCCTGACATCTCTAACCCTTAGTTTATCTATAAAATAACACATGGAAAGCACTTGGCCTGGTGCCTGGCACATATAAATCTTTCATGAACATGAGATGTTATAGTGACTAATTGTATCTCTCTTTAAGGTTGAACTCAAGCCTGGCGAGCCTGCCCCAGACAGATCCCGTCCCCAACCTCTCCCTCTCCTACTACCACGTCCTGGTGCAAGCGCGTGCCTCTGTTCCAGCCCTTTATACAGAGCATTCACCCTATTATTTAATTGCTTGACCCCCACTACTCCACGCCTTCTTCCTGAGTGCCCAGAGCAGGGCGTGGCCTGCAATCACTGACCCCTGGGGCAGGGGCGGAGTTAACCCCGTGGGCAGTGCTGTGCTCTGGCTCTTCCCTGAGATATCCACCCTCCTGCCTGTCCTGGCAGCGCCTTGGAAGGCTGGTCAGGGAGGTGGACCAAGCGCGGCAACGTCTAAGGGAGGATGAATGGAGGAAACAAGTCCTGAGTAGTTGGTTCTCTTCAAGTCTTGCTTGATAGCCTGCACCTAAAATGAGTAGATGCCAGAGGATGGCATCCCAGCCCCACGGGAAGAGCAGATCAACACGCCGGCATCCAGCCATGCATTCTCTTTCCCAGTACAAAGCAGAATTTCCTTGTGCACTTTAGTGTTCCATGTTCCTTCTTTATAACAGAATAAAGTTAAGTCGGAGCTGCCTCAGAGGGGTCCAGACGGTCAGCTCCTTGGGCGGCAGCTGTGGTGCGGGGATCAGCCCTCCTCTCAAGGGCAGCGTCTCCCTAGTCCCCAGCTGATAGGAGGGCTGACTTTGATGTGTGGCGAGGTCTCCCTTCCGCCTCCTCCGTCCAAACAGCATTGTGCCCACTTTCTATCTCCTAAGTGTCAGTTTCACAATGTCACACCCTTTCATGAGCCTGTCGCTCTACTCTTCATTCAAGATATGCTCCCGGCCTGGCCGGTGTGGCTCAGTGGTTGAACACCAAGAGGTCACCGGTTTGATTCCCGGTCAGGGCACATGCCCAGGTTGTGGGCCTGATCCCCAGTGGGGGGCATGCAGGAGGCGGCCAGTCGATGTTCTCTCTCATCGATATTCTCTCTCATAGATGTTTCCATCTCTCTCTCCCTCTCCCTTCTTCTCTCTAAAATCAATAAAGAAATGATTTAAGAAAAAAGATATGCTCCCGAGACTAGGCTCATTTCTCCTCACTCAGGTCCCCTTAATGGACTGAACTGTGTCCCTCCCCAAATCATATGTGGAAGTCCACCCTCAGTATCTGAGAATACAACGGTATGTGGAGATGGGACCTTTAAAGAGGTGATTAGTGTTACATGAGGTTATATGAATGGGCCCCAATCCAGTATGACTGGTGTCCTTATAAGGAGAGAGAGACTCTGTGTGGCCACAGAGGAAAGACCAGGCGGAGACATAAGGAGGGGACAGCTGTCTGCAAGCCAAGGAGAGAGGCCTCAGGAGAAACCAGCACTGCTGGCACCTGGAGCTTGGACATTCAGCCTCCAGGACTGTGGAAAATACATTTCTGTGGTGTTCTGCTATGACAGCCCCCGTGGACTCATATGAACCCAAAGGCTGGTTCAGCCTTGATTACTGCAGTTCTGCATTCTGTTCATTCATTGCGATTTCTGTTGGTGTATCCGTCTGCCCCAGTGGGTAACCACCAGCTCTTTCCCGTTGCTATGCCCAGCCCCAGAGAAGACCCAGGATCAACACCGCAGCGCAGGCCTTCGCCGAGGGCAGCGATGCCGCCGCAGAGGAAGCCCCAGCGTGTCGTGACGAGCGCAGGCATCTCCCGCTTAGCCTAAGTGACCTTTCACTCAGCTTTCAAACTGAATGACTACCCGGGGGTACAATCTTTGGGGGGGGGGATTGGAAGCAAAGTTTCCTAATTTTGAACTGAGGTTTTGTGACTGTCGACTCATTGGCCATCATGTTCTTCTCGGCCCTGTGGTATTAGTGAATTGCTGTATTTAGACGCTCAGCGTCTTTTCTTTTTTATCCTCACCCAAGGACATTTTTCTATTTTTTGTTCAGATAGATTAGGAGGGAGAGAGAGAAAGGGACAGAGAGAGAAACATCGACATGAAAGGGATACATCGAGTGGCTGCCACCTGCACGACCCAACCAGGGCCGAGGACAAACTGCAACCGAGGTACATGCCCTTAGCGGGAACCGAACCCCGGTCTCTCTCGACCGCAGGTTGATGTTCTAACTGCTGAGCCAAACCGGCCAGGGCTCAGCGTCTTTTCTTGTCTTTGTCACTCCATTCAGGCTCATTCTGAACCCCCACCCCTTCCTTCTCCCAAGGCTCCAGGGCCCTCACAGACCTGCAGCAAGTGGAGAAAGGGTCCGGCCACTGGCCCTCACCCTTCACCACCCCAACCAAGCACTGCAGCACCCCACGTTTGGGGGCCTTAATTTCCCCCAAAGCACAAAGGGATATTTTGAAAGGCCTTACCACAACTCTGGTAGAGTATTTCCAGGCTGCCACCCCTGCAGGCCGTGTGCGTGGGCCAGGCCTGGCCGCGGGGGGCGAGCAGAGTGCAGAGGAGGAAGGCGGCGGCGAAGCCCCTCATGGCGAGGCCTGTGTGCGACCGACAGAGGCAACAGGCCCAGGAACAGGCCCTTCAGGGTGGTTCTTCCTCTCCCCTGGTTAAAAGGGTGACATGTTCAGTTTCATTTCTCCTATTTCACGCTCTGGGGAACCGCTGTGAGAAGCAAAAGGCAGTTCCCAGAGGCATTTGCCTGCTGTCCCCCAGGGCCTCTGACTGTGAATCAACAGGGCGCAGCGAGGCTGGGCCGGGGGTAGGTGGACGTTGACTTTCTGCTTTCACAGGGAGAAACTAGCAAGTGATGCATGACCTTATGGCTCAGGTTCCCCAAAACAGCCCTCCCAAGAGCCCCACCCCAGGCGGGGCAGTGAGCTCAGGGAAGGTAAGCGCAGGCCACCCTGTGCTCCCCAGCAGGCCCGGTCTCTGCAGGCCTCTGGTGCGAGCTGAGGACCAGGCGCTGCAGGCCGCCCAGGCCTCTGGGATCTGAGATGAGGCTTTTGAAACCCAGCGGTGTTTTTCTCCCCTCTGGTTTCGGCTCCACTCTCTGGAGGAGGATGTCGGCGCCGCGTGCTGCAGGAAGCACTGAGCCTTTTTCCGAGAGCAGCAAACTGGTCTCTGAGGACCAGGCGGAGGGAGTAGCCCTGAGACTGAGCTGGGCTCTGTTTCTGGGTTCAGCTTGGCGGACAGAGCAGGGAAAGACGGGGAAGTGAGGGTGTCCTGTGTAATGGGGGGGGGTGTTGAATTGTTCCGGGCATTGGAGAGATTGTGATTGTCCTGCCTCACTTTCTTTCTTTCTTCCGTCTGCCTGTTCCATTGCGTTGTTGCCTGATCCCAGACAGCGAGATTTCTGACTGTGATTCCCACGCCCACCCCGACTGCACCCTAACTGGAGAGAGCTGGAGTCAGGCCAAAGCCGCAGGTGTTAGGAGCAGCAGAGAACATCACTGCCCTGGGACAAACAGCATTTCTCTGACACACTAGGTAAACTATTTTTGCTGATGTCTGAATAAGAATTAAAGTCACCTCAAAACTTTTGTTTTGAAGTGCAATGTAACTACCAATAAAGACAAGCAAATGCATTGACTTAATTGATGGATATTTCTTGGGAGACATCAGAGACTAGTCATTTGGGGAAGGGGCAGGGGGCAGGTCTGGACTGATATTTTTTGGGTACTCATCTGCAAATAAGTACAGTGATGCTGGCTTTCAAAAGTGGTTCTCAAAGTATGGTTCCTGGACAACAGCATCGACTTCAACTCGGAGGTTGTTACAAAGGCAGATTCTTGGGCTACATGCAAGACCAGCTGAGTCGGAAACGGGCTGGGCCCCGCACTCTGGGTTTTACTCATCTCTCCAGCTGAGTCTGGCGCAGGCAGAAACACAGGCTCTTTTGGAATTCGAGGTGAACGTTGAGCCCAAAAAAGAGGTGGGTGGGTGGCTCTAAGAGGAGACAAGGTAGCACCGTGCGGCCACGTGAGCAGAGGTCGGCTGTGCCCTGAGCAGGAGCTCAGGCGAGAGCCAGAAGCTCGACGTTGAGAGTTGCGGGCCCCGACGGGAGCATGTGAGCCCTGGTAGCTCCAGGACAGGGACATGCAGCTTTCCCTGGGGACCTTTGAGTTCTCCAGACGTTGTTGAGAGAGCTCTGAAGGGGAGTGAGCGGAGTAATTGAGGCACGGCCCTTCCACCCTGCAGAGCACAGCGTGGCCAACATACCAGCCGTCCAGGGAGTGCAGAGCAGGGAGCAGGCAGCCCGGCAGAGAGCGGTGAGTGGCTGCCGGTCAGGAAATCGTGGCATCTGGGGACAGGGCCACAGATTTTTGTGAATCAAAGGACGTGGTGATGAAAAGAATCATGATTCAGGGACAGCACTGGTGTTCAGAACTGCTCAACAAGGGACCGCCGAGAGGCCCTGGACGCGTGGGGATGCTGGAGCGGTGGCCCTCAGACCCGGGCATCAGCTGGGGGGCTTGTGAACACACACAGTATGGGCTCTCCTCCCAGAGTTCCTGACTCCAGAGGCCTGGGGAGGGCCTGAGCACCTGCATTTCTAACAAGTTCCTGGGTGATGCTGCTGGGCCGGGCCGCAGTTTGAGAGCTTCTGCCCTAGGCTACGGAACTGCCTTCCTGCAGGGTGTAAACGTTGAAAACCTTCTCATCAACAGCACGTTCTTTTGCAAGATGATGGACAACATTTTGTAAAACACTTAACACACCCAAAGAGGAGTAAGGAATGAGCCCCTTTCCCGAAGGAGGTCGGCTTACTGAGAACCAGGGTTTGACGAACATCCTGTTATGCTCACCTAGTTCAATGAACTCATGTCTTGAGGAGTTCTCGAACTAGAAGCTTTGAAAAAGTAACATGAGAGTTTATTGAGAATGTTCTGTTCCCTAACCACAGAATAAAATTAGAATGAATTTATGACTGTTATTTAAAATATGGTCTTATCTATGTAAATGGTAACCACACATGCTGTCAGGCCCTGACCTGGACTTCCCATACCTTAAAGAAGTTGTGCTGTTCTGGTCTAGTTCAGCTTTCTCTTCTACTTTTTTTTTTTTTAATCCCCACCCAAGGACATTTTTGCATTTATCTTCAGATAAAGTGGGAGGGAGAGAGGGTGGAAGAGAGAGAGAAACGTCGACGTGAGAAAGACACATCGACTGGTTGCCACTCACATGACCCCAACCGAGGCCAGGGCCAAACTGCAACTGAGGTAGGTGCCCTCAGCGGGAACCGAACCCGGGTCTCTCTGGTCCGCGGGCTGATGCTCTAACCGCTGAGCCAAACCAGCCAGGGCTCTCTTCTACTTCTTTGAAGACCCTCTTCCCCTGTGTCTCAAGCTGCTCTCTTTCCATCGGGTTTTGCTGGGGGATGGTGCCCATCTTTTCTTAAAATGCTATCATCAGGATAGCTGTCACTGAACATGGTCTTGAGAAGAAAAGTCATGTTTAAGGAGAGTGTTTAAGAATAAAAGGTGAGATCCTGAGGGCAAGAGTCCAACTAGGTAAGGAGGGAAGAGTGCAGCTGCTCCACACGAGGACACAAATGGACCGGGTTTTGCTGCACAGAGCAGGGGAGGAGAGAGCAGCCAGGAAAGAAGGGAAGGGCCGTGGCCGCTGCAGGTGGAGCGAGGAGGCCTGTCTGCAGGTGGGCCGAGCCAAACTCTTGTAGGAAAACATTCCAAATTGTTTGCTGTGCAGTGTGCTGTGGACAGCCTTCTCCACGGTCACCCACACCAGTTCAGTGGAGACTTACATACCCCAAAATACCGCGCGCGCGCGTGTGTGTGTGTGTGTGTGCATGCTTAGAAAAGGGCAGAGTTGCATCCTCGCCTCAAAGAACCACGGGCATGCAGCTCCCTTGCAAAATGCTCATAGTCTTCGGGTGGGCACTGCATTTCCACGTGCACGGAAGGGGCTTTGGGCCAATTTTATCTACATTTCACAGGCCAGCTGATAGCACATGACCCAGCTCTTCTCTAACACTAAACACGGATGACAGAGCGTTGTCTCCCCCGGCAACGTGTCTCATCAGCATCTCTGCTGGGCTGTGTCTGCTCTGCTTTCCTGCCCCTCAGATGTTTACGAGACAGCGATTCCCTCTGTGCAGTGCTGCCCTTGGCTCCTTTCCCCGGCGCCTGTCTCTGTTCTGCCGCACTCCAGTGAAGAGACAGGATCATCTCTTCTTGCTTCTGTCTTTCAGACTGAGTGCAACCTAAAAGTAGCTCCCCGGGGTACAGATGGCAGGAAGCCATGCTGCATCCCGTGTCACACCATTTAGCAGCCCCCTGGCTGACTGCTGAGGTTTAGTCTTCAACTATGTTCTCATCCACTCTTGGGTGGGCTACACAAATATCTTGCAGAATTGGTACAAGCTTACTGAGCTTTCTAGTCGTCTTTCTATAACCTCCCCGACTTCTGGAAGATTCACCTCAAGGAAACAGCGAGATCCCCATAAAACCCATTAGGTTTTTTTATTTTTATATTTTTTTGGTATGTCCCCCTAGTGGGAACCAAACCCGGGACTCTCTGGTCCGCAGGCCAACGCTCCAATCACTGAGCCAAACCGGCCAGGGCCCCATTAGGTTTTTGACGTCATGTATTATGTGTACGTATCTGATTGAACAGTGTAGGAACAGCCTGCTTTCTACAGAAAACAAGAACATTGTGATCTATTTATTTACCTGTTTCAGGTCCTTCACTCGTTTGTTCAGCAAAGATTTAGGAGGTACCCCAGCCGCTAGATACAATCCCAGCGCCAGAGCCAAGGAACAGCGCCCCCCTTCTCACAGAGCTTGCTTTCCAGGGGGAGGAGACATCGACGAATGTGTTTAGCACAACTGGTTAGTAACAGAAAAGAGACTTCACTTCTTGAAAAACTGCTTGGTTTTCACATAGAACGTTGGACTGAGACTTCTGAAATGTTTTCAGCTTCCTATTGCATATGCACACTAACCCTCCTCCTTTTTAAAAATGTGCCCCAGGCTGCTAGTTCATCAGGGCTTTGCAGGGACTGTGCTCAGCAGACACTGCAGCAAGCAGGCCTCTGAAACACTGCCTCGTCCAAATTTCTTATTACGGCCTCATATATTGACATGAGTGTTCATTTTTTTCTGGGGACATAATGTGCAAAGTACTGCATTCCTAAACAGGACAAACTACAAAGAGAAATGATTTTGTTTGTTTGGGGAACAGGTATGCTGGGTCAAGAAAGAGTGAGCTTTATAGATCAGCCTGATCCATTCCCCACAGACTGCAGTGCCTGGTTCAGGCGGAAGAGACCGCTCTGAGGCTCAGGCTCTGGAAGGACGTGTGTACACTTTCTAAAGTCTCTCTGTGGCAGGGGACAGATGAACAGCTTGTAGCTCAAACTCTCCTCCGATTGAGAGGTTCTCAAGATTTCATTCTGTTAAGACTGAAATGATTTTGATAAGCTGAAGGGAAGCGTCAGGGAGGAAACCAGAAGTGTGGGGAAGAACGGGGAGCGTTTTTTAGGTGGTGTGAAGAGGGGTCCTGCACTGGCTCGGGCTTCCATGTGCACCTCCAGCTGTG